CCTTTAATATTTATAGCCTAATATTTTATAGTAATGTATGCCAATTATATAACCTTTCATCAAACCTCCACAAGGTGGCGAGAAGATTGTACACTCCAATTAACAATAGAATATCAAGTTTTTTGAATAAGCTTTTATTACTTGATGAGGATTCATAATAACGAGTGATTTTTAATCAAAATATAATAATTACAAACTAAACAGAAAGAGTGAACATACTCACATGAAATAATTACTAAATTCGGTTAGCTAAACTAATCATGGTAGCTACACACAACAACTATACATAAATTGATTAAAGGAAATAAACAGAATTATTACGTATGAGTTTCGTAACTTTTGTTATGGTGATAATATGTCAGAGAATAATATGTTCGTTACAGCTGACCATAAGTTATCATCATCTTGGAAAGATAAAAATAAAGTATGGAAACACTTTACGAAATGTTGAATTGAAATTCAATATTTTTTACTTACGTAAGTACTATTGAACTAAAAACATTTGTTCAAAATAAAATCGAGGTGAGAGTGGAATGAATGTTTACAGTTTTATAGAATTAATCTGAAATTCAAACACTTCTGCCCTCTAGTGGCACAACGGTATGTATGCGGAGTTACAACGCTAGAAACCGGGTTTTGATACCCGTGGTGGGCAGAGCACAGATAGCCCATTGTGTAGCTTTATGCTTAACTTCAAAGAAACAAATCAAACACTTTTACTTCTGTCAGTTTAGCTAGAGCAGATCAACTGTTCTTTGTCTTATAAGCGCAATGGTACAAAATAGGCTATCTGTACTGTATCAATTGTAGGGATCGAACGGTAGATTTCTGCATTATAAACCCCTAAAGCTCACCACAGAGCTAAAGATTTAAGCTGCTAGCTATTTTTCGTAAGCCTAATTTTAAATATTCAAACAACAGTTTCAATTTCATGTTCATACTCTAATTTTGGAAAAAAAATTAATTGTTTCGATTTTTACAATTTAATAAACTACCGATATCAAATAATGACTTTTGAGAACTTTTCATTCAGGAACTAACACTTCTTTAAAGGTCACGGAAGGTTTGTGAATTTTGTATTTAATTTCATAAACTTATTGTAGAGTGCACAGTGACTATGCTTGTAATTTCAAACTGAAGCCCACGAAACTGCATATATAAAGTAGGAACACAGGGGGAAAGTTTGCAGTCGGAACAAAGTTCAAACCTCTTTGTGATAGGCCAACGAGTGATATGCATCAAATAATTAAAAAATCCAACGAAACTTCAAAATCACCACAAACTGTCCATTAAAATATTCTCGGTTCGCGAAGACTGATATTCCGTAATCTTAATATATATATATATAAACATATATGTATTATGCACGAAGTTTGAATTTCTGACATGACATATAGAAGCCATACTTACTTTGAGTCAAGCGAAATTAAATTATCAGTAATATGTGATTTAAAAAAGAAAAAGTAAAGCGATATTGACCGTGTCTGCCTTAAGCTAAGAGCTCATCAAGCTTTGTCTGAAACAGCGCACGCTTTCAATAAACAGCTGTCTTTTTGAACCAGAAATTTCATTATCTTTCCCACTAAATAAGGACATCTAAAGGCTTAGAAAAATTAAGAAAACTTTTTTATCAGAAGAATAAATAATATTATAATAAAAGCTGCCACCACTGATTTTTACATTAAAATAGGAAACTAGGATGGTTTCTAATGATTTAAGAATGGAGTGATTTGCGAATGTACCAGTGCATCTTATTATTAACAACAACAAACTTATTGAAGCGCCAGTGTATATATTAATTAACAACAACTTATCGATGACCCAATGTGTCTACTAATTAAAAACAACGAATTTACTTATGAGCCAAAGTTTATTAATTAACAGAACAAACTTACGTGCCAGTGTATCTATTGATTAACAACAACAAATCTACTGATTAGCCAAAGTATCTATTAATTAACTTACTGATGTGCCAAATCATCTATCAATTAATGACACGAAACTTTTTATATCTATTTATACTGCAAGGCCTAGTGATTACTGCGCCGGATCGTGACTCTGAGGGTTCGTGGTTCTCGTCCTATTGGCGAAAAACACACTCCGCGCTTTGGTGCATTGTAAGAGTAATCAAGCGATGTCAAGTTCTACTATTCGATTAGAGTAACCTAAAGTTGGTGGTAGATGCAGTTGACTATCATTATTTCTATTTACTATAGGTATTTCTTTTCTGTGTCAATTTATGGTATTCTTTAGTTAGGAATATTTACTTCTTGAACTTGAGGCGAAAAAACATTTTTTTTTCTTAAGTAATTAACATTTTTACCTCATGTAGATTACATTTCTGTGTGACGACTAGAATATAATTATATTTTACCCTTTTAGAAATAAAAATACCATATCTATAAATTTGTATATTTAGGTTGTTTTAATTTTTTTCTAAATTTGCAAACGTGCACTAATCCTCTACATTACATATCACAAGGAATTGTCCAATAAAGCTTATACTTTATTGGTCGTGTTTCCGTGTCATGCCTTCCTGGAGCGAGATAGCAGTAGCCATTTTAAAGGGTTGTAGAGAGACTCCTACAAATCAATATGATCTGGATGTTTATTCTCCCTCAAATACGTTTAATGGAAATGATTTTTCAAACTGATAATCTAGGAATTGTGCGATGTTATACTAGGACCTTAGTCTGACCTATCAGTGTAGTATCCTTATTTTACTGATTCCTGTTTTCATCAGATACATAATTCTGTAACCTAACTACTAGGCCACGTCCATCCCGTATTACCAAAGACTCTATAATACTTATATAAAAAAAGTATATTCTATGTACTTGTATTTGCTTACTTTCTTTTGCTGTCCGTATTCATTTTATTCTCTGTATAATATTTCCGGAACATGCTGTATTGTTGGTACTTATTAGATGGTTTCAGTTTTGGTTTAATGCGAGAGTTATAATTTAGATAGTTTATATAGCACAAGTGTTAAATTTAGTTAGTTTTAGAAGCGATAGTTTATCGCAAGTTTGTTTACGTAACTGTTTACGAATCATACGTGTAGTTCAGTAGTTATGAACTGGCGATTGTTATATTATTGCATCATGTTACTAGAACCTTCTGTGTTTTTCTCGTTGTTTTAATTGAGTATTATTGCATCATAATATCTATTAGCGTGTAGAACGTTCTAGACCTCTGTCAGAGTATAAATACGCGTCGAAAATATAGTGCGATATATTGATCATGATTCTGAGTTTACCTATAAAGAGAGTATAGTGGTATTTTTTTAAATGAAATTATCACAGATTGTATTGTAATAACATAGTAGAAAATAATAATTCGTCTTATGAATTGTGTTCTAAAGTAACTGAACCAGCATGTGTAGACTTCGACGAAAATGATATAAATTTTTAATGCTCTGGATACAACTGTTACAACTAACGGTGTAACGAACATTTGTATATACGTTTGACTTGTTTTAGCCCTCCTATGGAACAGTGGTATGTCTGCAGACATACAAAGCTAGAAACTGTGTTTCGATACCCGTGGTTGGCAGAGCACAGATAGCCCATTGTGTAGCTATGTGCTTAACTTCAAATAAACAAACAAAACTTGTTTTAATATATCATTTTAAAACAAGTGCACTATATACTGTCTGTTTATTGTTGAAATTTATCACCAACAAGTCACAGACACCTACTGTAAAGAATCCGATCTACACATATAAAACCTGACAGTATTTACAAATCTCTAGGAAATCAGTTTGTCTGAATAGAGAAGCCGCATTGCAAATATTATTATTTTCATTAGATTTTTAGATTTTATATATATATATATACGTGCTATTACTAAAGTGATCCAGCATTGCAATATTTCACATATCGATTTTTATACTCTCATAAAATATAATCGGTCCTTTCTCAATTTCACGTGGTTAATGACGTTTAACAAGGATGCACTTAGTTTGATACTAATAACCTACGTATCTGACATGTCTCTGATATTTTCGAATAGCCTGCTGGCTGAGCTATGTCATGTTTAGAAGGATGTTCGAAAACGTCTGGCAGGATGGAGATATTTACTTTTTGAAATTGAGGGAAAAAACTTTCTTAGATAAGTGAAATTTTTAGCTCATCTATCAGATCAACCCATAAGTTCTGTCCGGATTTTAATTCTTTGAAATTTACTAGTAATTTAGAATGTTTAATGGAAATAAAAAATATTTATATATCATACATATGTATTTGGGCATATTTAAGCTTATTAAATTTTATTTTACAGAATAAAGTATTTCAAATTCCACTGATTAAAGCCCTTTAAACATGGAAGTATCTAAGAAGCATTTGAGGCATATAATGCTTTATGAGTTTAAAAAAGGGAATTCTGCAGCCGAAGCGACTCGAAATATTCACTCAGCTTATGGAGAAGAA